TACTTTGGAAAAGAGTTTGGCAGCTCCTTAAACAATTAAACATTGAGTTACAATGTAATCCAGCTCTTCCACTCCTGAGCCTGTACCGAAGACAAAAAGAAAACTAGGTCCACAAAACTTACACAGGGATGTTCATACCAGCATCAATTATAACAGTCAAAAAGGGGAAACATCCCAAATGACCATCACCTGGTGACTGCGTAGAACAAGATGTGCTGTATCCATACAATAAGACACTAGTTAGCAATAAAAAGGAATGAAGGACTGACACATGCTACCACATGGCTGAGACTTGGAAATGGTATGTGAGGCAAAAAAACCACACACGAGAGGCCATGTGATTCCTTTTATATCAACTGTCTGGAATAGGCAAATCCATAGAGACAGAAAGTAGATTGGTGAATGCCGGGGATGGGCCGGGGGGCCATGGGGAAGGGGAGAGCACCTAAGAGGTGCATGGTTTCTTTTGGGGGTGATGAGAATGTTTGGAAACGGGTTGTGTTGATGGTAGCACAAGTCTGTGTATGAATGCATTAAAAGCCGTTGAGTTGTACATTACAAATGGAATGTGAATTAGTGAATTGTATCTCAGTATGTTCCTGCTTTGACCGCGGCTGGGTCTCTTGTTTCCACAGTTACGAAAGTGCCAACATCGAGAGCTTCTTCAGCGGGAGCTGGTCCATCTTCTGGGTCAAGATGGCCTCCTGCTGGATATGCGTGCTGTTGTACCTGTGTACGCTGGTCGCTCCCCTCTGCTGCCCCACCCGGGAGTTCTCTGTGTGATGATATCAGCGGTCCCCTGGGCTTGTGGGCCTACAGCCTGGAAAGTGCCATCTTTTGAACAGTGTCCCGGGGGGTTAAGCAGGGACTGGTGCCCTGTGCCTGAGTGGGTCTGAAAAGGCTGTGAGGGGGAAAAAAAAAAAAAAAAAAAAATCTCCTGATTAACTTTTTACTTTTGAAATTCAAAAAGAAACTACCAGTTTGTCCCAAAGGAATTGAAATTTTCAACCAAACTGATCACGGTTGAAATATCTTACCCCTAGAAACTGGATACTGGTTATGTTGACTTCCTTCTGCATGTTTTTGCCAAAACAGAATTTGGGAGACAGCATCTTTTCACAGGGATACCTGTGAAATACCTTGTGTGGCCAGTCATTCTCATCCTTGGAATAGAAAATATGCCAAAATCTTGAGTCCCCAGCCCCTAACAGAATCTAGACCCCTCTCACTCACTTCTGCCTCTTAGAGCCTTGTCCCCAGGCGGCTTTGAGGACAGGACTCAGCCTGCAGGGCCCCTGGTATTTATAGGGTGCAAGAGGTGGCACCTGCTTTTCAACTGTACCCTCAGTGCTGCCTCCTCATGGCCCCTAAACATCTCCTTTTGAGGTTGTGATGCTGGGAATCACAGACTTCACTCTCTGCCTGCACCCTTCCCCGAGGTCTCATCTTTTCTGGGTCCCACGTCTTTGTAATAATGTGAAAAAGCACAATTTGCCTGGTCACCCCCCACGTGGTTCTCCACCATATTATCACTACCTGATCCAAGTTACCGCAATAAGTACGGCGCTTATTTATGGTGTTATTCACACGATTATAGAACAAGATTCATGTTGTTTTCTTTGCCTAAGCAACAGAGGGCTATCATTCTTACTTGTTTGTGCTGTTAATAATGATAATACTTTTAGGACCTTAACTGAAAAGCTGCTTCGTGTTGAAGCCCGCTGCATGCACTGCTCTTTCAGGTGTTGAGGCCAGCCCCTCAGTTTCTTCTCCACCTTGAGGCCTTTGAAACTGTAAAAGCAGAAGACGTTTTGTGTTCTGGATCTGTAATGTGACCATACCGTTCAGGTTCATTCTGGCATCCTTGGAGTAGATTCGCTAACGTGAGAATTTCTGAGGTGAGGATCTCAGACACACTGACCAGAGGAAGCCTGTTAGGCAACATGTGGGAGTGGCCGAATATACTTAAAGAGAGGTGGGCAGAGGCAGGTGGATCGCTTGAGGTCAGGAGTTCAAGACCAGCCTGGCTAACACAGTGAAACCCCGTCTCTACTAAAAAGAGAAAAATTAGCCGGGCATGGTAGCGTGTGCCTGTAATCCCAGCTACTCGGAGGCTGAGGCGTGGGAATCACTTGAACCTGGGAGGCGGAGGTTGCAGTGAGCCAAGATCACACTCCACAGGAATTTCCAAAATCCATACTTGCAAAGTAATACAGAAACGTGACTTTTGGCAGCTACCTAAGATGATGCCTATTTTCAGCGTTGATGTTCTCAGGCAGGGAAAAGGTTTACTTGCTGGAAACTCCTGTTAGAATTTCATTCGGGATGAAAAGAATCTTCTCGCGCTCTCTGGAAGTGAGGATCTAAGAATAAAAGGCTCAGCCTAGTCATTTTTTTCTGTGCTCTACTGTATGAGTTGGGCAGAATTGAGTGCCACCTAAGCTGAGCTTCCATGTGCCAAAATGCTGGTGGGTGAAATTAGTGAAATTCTTTCTATTCGTTCTTTGCCTTCTCCCAAGAAAACCCATGGGGAAACAAATTACGGGGGATGAATTCCTTTAGAACTTTCCCTACTTAGAGTGTTTGAGATTCAGTTTCAAAAGGCACTCCATCTGTGTGTGTGGTTAAGAGAGCCTTGTTTTGTAAAGTCCATTAAATTTCGTTTTGTAGGGCAGGAGCTCTGTACTTAGCAGTTCAAAGATTGATCCGGAGTCGCAAAATGAAAGGCTAACTGGTTCCCCGAGGAACCAGTTAGGGTACAGGAGCTCCCAGTTAGGGTACAGGAGCTCCGTGGGCCAAGAATGGGCTCAGGGAGTGGGGCTGCGTGTCATCCACAGTAGCTGTGTTGCAGTGGCCTAGGGCCTTGGAGGTTGTCTTTAGGAAACACCCTGAGGAGAAGCAGATCAGGGGCCCGGGCAGTATTGTGACTAGTTTCATTGTTTTCCTCCTGCTGAGGTCTAGCAGAGCCTTTACTTTGTCTTCTTGACTGGGTCTGGCTGCCAGCTGGTGTGATTTGAGAAACTGACCTTACGCTCAGTCAAGGTCGAGCTGACAAGGCCTTGGATTCCTTGGCTGGCTGTGGCTGGCCCTTTCTTCTGCAGAAAGCAGCTCAGGGAAGCCCAAGCAAGGGAGTGTGGCCAGTGGAAGGCCCTCGTCACTTCCTTCTGGAGCCAGCCCAGCCACCCCACGTTTTCCAGATGCGTGAGTCTGGTTTGTGGCATCCCGTTCCCTTCTGCTGGTTGGTCTGATGCAGGAGGAAGAGTTACAGTTGCTCTGAATTGTATTCTCAGCTGAAAATGTTATCACGTGTATCTGGATGAACAAAAGAGATGTGGATGTATCTGAGGATGAGGGACTATCAATGCAAAGTTAATGTTAATGGTTATTAATTGTGATATACAATTCTCAGGCGAGGAGTCAACATTCCTGGATTTAAAGAACCTATAGTTTTGTGCAATTGTGATTTAAGAAACTGGAAACATTGTGCCAATGGCTTTGACTTGCTCTAACAATGGTGTTCATTTGATTAACTCACTGATACCTTTTAAAAATAATAGACATTTGCTTCCTATACCTTTTTGTACATGACTTAAAGAGTATATTCCCAGAAGCTGCTGGTCAGACACATTTAGGGATGACAGATGAAGAGGATTTTTTTAAAGCTGCATGTGAATATTTCCTCTGTGTCATTTGTCTGATGTAGAAAAGTTTTCCCCTCATTTTTATGAGTAAAAACACTAAGTGGGTGGCGGGGGGTGGGGGTTTTTATGGGAGTGTCATAGCGAGGCATGTTACCTGACTGGAGGCTAGAGGCTGTTTCCATTATAAGCCTTCGGAAACCCAACCACGTCTTTCCTGGGTCTAGCTTTTTTTTAAATACTCATTGGTTACTTTTATTTTTGCCCCCAATTTCTTGGGCAAAAAGCTTCTTCATTTTGTCTGAAGAAATTGTTTGCCAGAGGTATTTGGAGCCTCTCTGAAGGGGAGATAGAGTGGGGGTGGGCTGTGGGGAAGGTGGAGTTATTGGGGTTTTGGGGTTCTGTTTCCATACAACATTGTTTATTTCCGATTCCTCAGAAGATCCTTCATTATGAATAACCTCAGTGTAATGTTAATTTCCCACCCCGTGCCAAAATTGTCATCTTTGGCCTTTTTTATTTTTTTATTTCTTTTTTTTTTTGGAGATGGGCTCACTCTGTCACCCAGGCTGGAGTGCAGTGACATGATCTTGACTCATGGCAGGCTTGACCTCCTGGGCTCAAGGACCACCTCCCAAGTAGCTGAGACTACAGGTTTGCGCCATCACACCTGGCCAGTTTTTATTTTTTTGTAGAGATGGGGTTGTCCAGGCTGGTCTCAAAACTCCTGAGCTCAAGCAATGTGCCCGCCTTGGCTTCCCAAAGTGCTGGGATTACAGGCATAAACCACTGCACGCAGCCTACCCTCTGCCTTTTTAAGATGACGTATTTATTTAATTTTTGCCATCATTGGTGCTTCACCTTCCTGCGAAGGAAATTCCAGAGCCTGTATTTAAGCTGCCTAGGCTTTTACCCTCCCTTTATTGCCTTTCTAAATAGTATCTCATTTGGTGTACTCTAGTATCCTATACCTCTTGGAAGTGAAAGAGGACCCAACCTACAACTAAGAAGGGACAAACCTTGAACTTAGTAAGACCTTACACACCCAGAAAGAACATGGGCCCTCCTTCTTCAGGGACAATGCAGGAGCCACTTGGCCTGCGGAATTTTCTGAAGGCTATTTTCTGTAACTTGCTAGTTAACTTAGTTTTGCATTTCAGACAGAGGTGTGCTCTGTAATGTTGGGCCTTTGACTTCACAGGACTGGAGAGCTGTCCACACAGATGTTTAGACCTTTCTCTTCTCTCTTTTTTTTTTCTTCCTCAACAAATCTTTCACAGAGGCAGTCATTTTGAAAGGTTGAAATATTTGGCCTTTACCAAAGAGCTTTTTTTTTCCTTAAGCAAAATCCTTTCAGAAAGAAACAAATGGGGAAGGGCAGATTAAGAATGCATATGTCCCAACCCACTTCTATAGGAGTTTAATCATATTCACATGAGCAAAATGATGGAAGAACTCTTTAAGGTAATCCTTTGGGATAAAGGATCCTGGGACATTCTCTCAGGTAAAGAAAGATTACAGCAGATGCGTAATATATGTCTCGAGAGCTATTTATAAGAAATTTAAGAGGATTGTTTTGTTTTCCTTTATTAAAGATTTAAGCCTTTTTTACTTTGCAAAAAGAAAACTACAAAAGTTTTATAGATATAACTTTGCTAATTTTTTAAACTTTTCTGAAACAATTAGCTGTAGCCAAATTATGTGGTTACGTTTTGCTACGTTAGAATTTGAAAATGCAATATGTCTGGTAAA